CAGACCTGCTAAAGGGGAGGGGTTTCACGTAATGGAGGCGCAAAAAGAGTAAGGAAAGTTAAAGTGAAGATCTGAAGGTAGGAAATCGCTTCTTTTTTTTCAGGTAATTTACTTCAGTCCAGTAAAGGGTAAGGGTATACTGCCCCGCAATGGAGGAAGCGCATTCTTGGGTTGGTACCTCGGTAAGATATTTGACCGTGTTTTTTTTGTAATAGGAATAAGAAAGATGAGAGATAGTGTGCTTCCCTGGGCTGGTGTTGGGGACATTGTAAAACGGGTGGATAATATCATTCAGGTAATGGGAACAAGCCTTATCGTCTCAGTGCTGGGGGGGAAAATGATTTTGGGGGGTAGGAGAGAAGAGTCTAGATAAGACAGGTCGCTTAGATTTCATAAGTCTAAGGGGGGATCCCATCATATTAGCACTTGCCTAAAAAGGGGAGTGGGAAATGAAGGGTTGTCAGGGCTTTTGGTTGAAAATTGCTGGCTAGAAGATATGAAAGGGAATTTGCAATCCCATTCATTGACAACGGAAAAACAACTTTTTTTTAAGGAAAGATTTTGGGGGGAGGGGGTTTAATTTTGGGTGGGGTGGGTTTGTTGGAACAGAAAGGGCCATTGGTGAAACATTTTTTAAAAGGGGAAAAAAGGATTTGTTGGGGGAAAAAACAAATTTTAAAAAAAAAAAAAAAGGTTTTGAAATTTATAAAAAAAGACAAAGATGGGTCACAAACAAAGTGGGACAGAAGGGGGGCGAAAGGGACTCTCCCTTAAGGTTTACATAAAATAGAGGGTGAAGAAAAAGATGATACAAAGATTAATTGCAAGTAGGAAACAAAAATTATTGCTATAACAAGACCGGCTCAATCTAAAGATGGGGAAGCCCCCTGAATGTAAAAATACAAGGCTATAAATTATTCCCACTGACAGGGTCAACAGGAAAGGTGGTGGAATACGTTTTATATCAGAGACAATTTAAATTTTTTGTTAGACAAGATATTTAAAAAGAAGCGTCACCCCTGAATCTGTTTGGGTTACAGCTTTTCGAGGGCCCAGAAAAATAATTTGGGTGTGATTTCAGGGCCCCCAAAACTTTATAGGGAGTGCAGTAAATTCTATGGGACGAAATTCGTAAGGCATCTACCTACGAAAATGTTGGAATGGGAGTTTAATACAACGATTGACTGGAGCAGTTTGACGGGAAAATTTTGAGTGGGTGACTTTCTTGATACGATCCCCGGATTGTTTTTTTTTAAAAAGTTTGTGACAGGCCAACTAGGGAAATAACCCCTTGACTTGGTTCTTGCAGTAGGGAAACACAATTAAAAAATCTTGGGTTAATGATGAGTTTTGGGGAAAATGATACAAATCATCAGTTTTAAAAATAATTGGGAAACCCCTAATAATGGCAATCATCTCTGTCCCTGACTTCGCTTGGCTGATTTCATAGGCTGAAAAAATTACTTAGGGGGGGCTGAACTGGAATGCCTGACTAAGGGTCAGGTAGGTGGTTATGGTTTCCCATATGATGCTTTTCCCGGGGTAGTTTAGCTGCTCGTCAAATTAAAGTTCCAAATAGAAAATAATCAAACAAAAAATGATCCTAAAGGATGAACAATAATTTAAAAAATCTGATGGTCAAAAAAGAGGATATTAGGCAAATAAAAGAGGGGGGGGCAATTAAAAATGATATATTTGTTAAGAGAAAATAAAAAAAAATTTGAAAAGCAAAAAAGAGATTTGGGTTAAAGTTGCAAAGAATCGGGAAAAAAATAACCCAAAAAGGGTTTTTTCGGTTACAGAAGAAGATCAGGAAAAATAGGCCCCCTCAAAAATTCCCGGGGCGCTATGCAGTGTAAGGAAAAGGTTTGAAATTTTTAACACCTACTTCCCCCTCTTTTTAACCAGGGGTACCAGCGATATTCCCGTAAAGATAAATTATGTAGAACGGAGATAATAAACTGTGCACGATTAGGGCACAAAGGACATGGTCCTTAGGGGAAATAGATAAATTAAAACCCAAAAAAACCCCCGACCCTGAGAACTGTAAAACAAGGGGGGTTTTAAAAGGGAAATTTTAAAAGGAGCTTAGCACACCTTTGGCAAAAATTTTCAACATATCACTAAAAACGGGATGGTGCCGATAAGTGGAAAATGGCAAATGTGTACCTATTTCAAAAACAGGTGGGGAGGTCCCTTTGCTTCGAACTATAGACCCCAAAAAGCCTAACCTCCATAGTGGGAAAATTTATGAACAATAATTGCCCAGGCAGTTCGTGCCACCTTTAAAAACATAAATTAATCAAAGAAACTCGCATTTTTACAAAGGGGCGTTCCCCCTTCGAATTTATTAACTGTTTTTTTAAGGTATTTTAGGAGGTAGATCAGGTAATGAAAAAAAATGATAGTGTATTGGGGCTTCAGAAGGCTTTTGACGGGCCCACTCAGAGATATTGAGAAAAATTTAAAACACATGGAATAGGGGGGAAAATTTTTTCCTGGATAGAGGCTTTGGGTTACAAATAGGCAGAGAGATTTCATAAATGGGGGGAAATCAGAGTGGGAAACGTCACAGCGGGTTCCACAGGGGGGCAGTGTTTGGGGCCCTGCTGTTCACAACAAAATAAACGAATAGATGGGGGGATAAGAGCGACATCGGCAAAATTTGCCCCAGCCCAAAATAGGCCGCGAATTTATTTGACAGGGCATTCGAGCACTCCAGGAAGATTTGAATAGAATGAGGGGGGGAGAAATGGCAGATGCGGTTTTTAAAATAGACAAAAAAGCAAAGTTTAAAAAAAAGTTTGGACAGGACAATAACCATGCCCCAAAATAAACAAATAATGTAGATCTTAAAATTCGGGTTGCGAAAAAATTTAGGAGTTTGGGTTTGCAGAATCTGAAACCAAGACAACAGTGCTTAATGTTCGCAATAAAGTAAAAGAATCCTTGGTTATATCAAGAAGCATAAATAATAGGAGTTCCCCCGGTTGTTCTTCAACCATACAGCTTGGTGGCCTGGGGGGGGTTTAAGCTCTCATTACACGGAGGGGGTGGGTTTGATTCCCGCCAGAGTAAAATATTGAGTGTTTCTTTCCACCCGTTGTCTTGTTCCCCTCAGTAAAATGGGGACCTGGGTGTTTTCGACTGGGTGGGTCGCTCCTGGGACACGACCTAAGTAGCCTGGTCACAGACCGGGCCGCGGGGGGGACCCCGGAAATTTAAAAAAAAGAAAATAGAGGAGGTATTTTGAAGGAAGGGGATTTAAAAAGGAAAAATTTTTTAAAAAGAAAAAGGGAGGGGAAAAAGGAAGAAGAAATTTAGAGGTGATAGGCCCGAAATGCCTCTAAAGCGGTTTTTGGGGGGGATTTGGGTGTTTGGGACAGGTTAAAATTAAAAATTTCTGTTTTGCCTGCGGATCGCACAATTTTAATTGAAAAACGACAAGGATTAGGGAAAAAATGGTTTTTAAATGTGGATGGGGGAAAAAAAATCCCAATACCGTTTTTTTTTCCAGAAATTTTTACTTTTTAAAAAAGGTTGGATAAAATCTGAGGATGTGGGGGGGGATTGCCTATAGCTTTTAAGGGGGGTGTTTTTAATAATGGACGGAATATAAAGGGGGGTGATTTTTTTGCCGGGGGGAAATTACCTGCCCAAGGGCCGAGGGTTCGGGAGTGTTTTTTTTTATGTTCAGTTCACAAATTGAAGACAAATTTATATTTTTTGAAAGATGGAAAAAATTTTCCTACTTTTAAAGAAATTTTTTTTTAAAAAGGGGAAAAACAAATTAGAGGGGTGGGGTGAAAGGGGTTTAAAGGTTTTCCCTTTTTAGTCACTCTGCTTTTTTGGGGAAAGGTTCTCTACAATGGTCAGGAGCAGGAAAGGCCCCTTTGGGGCCCTGCCCAACAACAAGGGTCTGTCCCAAACTTCCTATACCTAATTTGTATTTTATTCATTCTGTGTATATATCATTTTCTTTTATTAAATTTTTTTTTTTACATTTTGCAAGAAAATAAGCTGGATTTAATTAGGGAAAATTATTAAGTATTTTTTTTGCCCCGGTTTCCACTGGAACAAAAATTCCGTTTTTAAAAAAAATTAAATTTACAACAGCAAAATCCAGTTGGGGGAATCATGGGAATTAAACTCTATAAAATTTCCCCTGTTTTTTTTTAGCACAAATTCAAGTTACCCCTTAGGGTGTATGAATTTTTAGTTTTTCCGGTAATCAACCCGGGGGGAACAAAATTTTAAAAACCTTTAGTAAATTTTAAGAGGATCATCACGGTTTGGGGTTTTATCCAGTTCCGGTTGGGGGGTGAGGGGGGAGTCCATGTTTTTTGGGATGGTTCTTGGTAGGGGGTGGGTGGGGGGGTTCTTTTTAGTGGTTATTTTAAAATTTGGCTATGAAGGGTTCTTGGTTAGAGAAGAAAGAATGTAAGATTGGGTGGTAGTCATTGGAGTGGGGGTGGTTGGAGTTTGTGGGGCAGTCTTCACTTCAATCGGTAATTTATCAGTTTGTAGGTATCACTGTTGTTTGTCTTGGGTCATGCTGGGTTCTGTGTGTGTTAGTGCAGTTATGATTGGAATTAGGCCATCATAGAAGCATTGATGGGCTCTGCAGGTGAGAAAAATGACTGAGCTGGCTGCCAGAATGCTGCTGTATAATGATTTTCAGCAGATTTTTGTGAACGGTATCGATCACATATGGTGCTATCAAAAGAAAAAGATAAACTGACTTAGCACCAGATTTGTTTTAAATATATAAATTTCTGAAAATAGTTATATGTAATGTAAACTTGAGGACCTGTGGGTGCACAGCTCACTGTCCTAACTGAAACAAGGGGGGGGGGGAGAAAGGGAACCTTGGATATGCAAAATTTATATTCTTTGTAAATAACTAGTGCAAATACTGTAATGGAATTTTCCTTAATTTTGAATTTTTTAAACTATTCCTAGACTAGTTTTTCTTGAATTTGACGATTGTTTCCTTACAGCACACTATGGCATCTCGCAAGAAGATTCTTTTGAAGGTCATTATCCTGGGTGATTCGGGGGTTGGGAAAACATCTCTTATGAACCAGTTTGTCAACAAGAAGTTTAGTAATCAGTACAAGGCCACCATTGGTGCAGATTTTCTAACGAAGGAAGTGATGGTGGATGATAGACTTGTCACTATGCAGGTAAGTGTTGGGATTAATGCTCACAATGGTTGTTTTTCAGATACAATGATAGAGGTTAGGTAGTGGAAATGATTTTAAGGTGCACAAAGGTTATAATAGGTTTAATAGAGAAAAATGATGAACCAGACCACAAAGTAGTTTATCAGCACTACTTCCTTGTTGCTAGTGACTCTTGATGTACAGAATTGGCACTACACATCACTATTTTAGATCAAATTAGAATGCCTTCCATTTTCCCAGTGCTACATAACCAGTATAGGTTTAACATTTTCCCTGTAATTTTAATAATGCCAGTATGTACTATATTACAGAGGGTTGAATGAATCTGTGAAATTATTAAAACGCGAAGGGGCTTTTTTTTTATTTTTGATTTTGAAAGTATTTTAAAGAGCAAAACTAAGCCTTTTTAATATATATTTGGAAACCTGGGAAAATTTTTCATTCCCAAAATTTTTTTGTATTTGGGGAAAGGTATATGTTTTGGTGGGAAAAAAATGTGGGAATGCTGAAAAATTATGAAATGGGTGAAAAAGTTGCTTAACCTTTAAACTGCCGGGCCCCTTTCTAAAACCCGGGTCTTTCGTGTCAAATAAATTTTTAAAAAAAAAGTTTTTTTTTCTTACGAAATGTTTAGAGAATTTTTTCCCGATGATAATGACCCCAAAAAAGTTTAAAATTTTTGGTCAAAAACCCCCAGGGAAATTTTAGGCTCCCGCAAATTTTAGTGGTCTCGGCGACAAAATGCGTTTTCGGTGATTTTGCCGACTTTGAGCCCCTGTTTTCATCCAAATTTCCCCGTTGTTCCAGTTGACCAAACTCAAAAGTTTTTTCTTTAGAACTCCATTTTATCTATCAGTGGTACAAAAAAACCGCCCAAATTTCCCAAATTTTGAACTCCCCAAATTTAAAAAGTGGTCAAAAAGGGGAAATTTTTTTTGGCAAATTTCAAAAAAATTTAAAGGAGATGCCAATTTAAAAATTTAGGGTCCAGAAAAAACTAGGTAACATTCGGGCACTAAAAAAAACCCCTTCCCCTCTTCATTAGTCACTCCCCAGGCCCCTCTTATTTTAATTATTGTTTTCTATTTTGTTTTTTTGTTATCAAAAAAATAAAAAAATTACTGTTATCCCAGACTAATCTTTAAATTGTAAAAAGGGAAAAAATTTAATATCAGTGCACTAGTGAAAAAAAAAATTGGGCCCCCCCAGTTGACGTGTAATGGACGGGTGGGTGATTTGTTTACTCCTGAAAAATTAGAAAAAACCCGAAAAAATTTCCGCTTTTTTGACCCTCGGTTTCGGGTTTTTCATCGTAAACGAAATAAAAATTTAATCTCTTTTTCTGTAATATGTTTTCCATTTTATCACCTAAGACCTTTGAAAAGGGAATTTACAACGATAAATACAAACGAAAATACACCTCAAAGTCTGCGTTTTAATCCAAAAAAAAGTTTCGTTTCTTTCTCTTTACGCACTGTGTGCTGCAGGATTTTTTTTTTGGTGCCCCACTGACCACACAGACCCATTTCTCACCCGGGGGGGGGCCTTTTTTCCCCCTTTTTTTGGGTTTTAAAAATTTTTTAAAAAATTAAAAAAAATTTTTTGGGATAAACAGTCAAGGGGTTAAAAAAAACCTTTTTTTTTGGGGGGGGGGTTTTTTTTTGGGGGGGAAAGGAAAGGGAAAGAAGGGGGGAGAAGGGGGGGGGGGGGAGAAGGGTGAAGGGGGGGGGAAAGGGGGGGGGGAAAAAAGAAGGGGGGAAAAAAAAGGGGGGGGAAGGGGGGAGGGGAAAAAGGGGGGGGGGGAAAAAAAAAAAAGAGAGAAGAGAGAGAGAAAAAGGGGAAAAAGAGAGAAAGGGGAGAGAGAGAAGGGGGAGGGGGGGAAAAAAAAGAGGAAAAAAAAAAGGGGGGAAAAAAGAGAGAGAGAAGGGGAGAGAGAGAGAAAAAAGAGAGAGAGAGAGAAAATGAAAAAAAAAGGGAAAAAAAGAGAAAAAAGAGAGAAAAAAAAAAAGGGGGGGGGGAAAAAATGGGAAAAAAAAAAAAAAGGGGGGGAAAAAAAAAAAAAAAGAAAAAGGGAAAAAAAAAAAGGGGGGAGAAAGGGGGAGAGGGAAAAGGGGGGGGGGAGAAAAAAGGGGGAGGGCCCTTTTTGGGGGGGCCCCCCCGGGGGGAAAAAGGGGGGGGGGGTTTTTTAAAAAAAAAAAAAAAATTTTTTTTTTTTTTTTTTTTTTTTTTTTTTTTTTTTAAAAAAAAAAAAAAAAAAAAAAATTTTTTTCCCCCCCCCCGGGGGGGGGGGGGGGGGGGGGTTTTTTTTTTTTTTTTTTTTTTTTTTTAAAAAAAAAAAAAAAAAAATTTTTTTTTCCCCCCCCCCCAAAAAAAAAAAAAAAATTTTTTTTTTTTTAAAAACCCCAAAATTTTTTTTTTTAAAAAAAAAAAAAAAAAAAAAAAAATTTTTTTTTTAGGGGGAAGGGGAGAGAAAGGAGGAGAGGGTGAGAGAGAGGAATGGGAGGAGGGAATAAGAGAGAGAGAAAAGAATGAGGAGAGAGAGAGAATGGAGAGAGAGGAGAAAAGGAGAGAGAGAGAATGAGAGAGAGAGAGAGAGAGAAAGAGGAGAGAGAGAGAGAGAGAGAGAAGGGAAGAGAGAGAGAGAGAGAGGGAGAAAGAGAGAGAGAGAGGAGAGGAGGGAAAAGAGAGAGAGAGAAGAAAAAGGGGAGAGGAGAGAGGAGAGAAGAGAGAGAGAGAGAGAGAGAGAATGAAAGGGGGAGAGAGGAGAGGAAGAGAAGAAGAGAGAGAGAGGAGAGAGAGAGAGGGGGAGAGAGAGGAGAGAGAGAGATAGAGAATGGAGAGATTTAGAGAGAGAGGAGAGAGAAAAGGGGAGAGAAAGAGGAGAGGAGAGGAGAGAGGGGAGAGAGAGAGAATGAGAGAGAGAGAAGAGAGAGAGAAGAGAGAGAATGAGAGAAGAGAGAGGAGGAGAAATTAGAGAGAGAGAGAGAAGAGAGAGAGAGGAGAGAGAGAGGAGAGAGAGAGGAAGAGAGAGGAAGAAAAGAAAAGGGAAAGAGAGGAGAATGAAAAGAGAGAATGGGGAGGAGAGAAGAGGAGAAAAGGAGAGAGAGAGGGAAAGAGGGGAGAGAGAGAAAAGAGAGAGAGAGGAATGAGAGAGAGAATGAGAGAGAGAGAGGGAAGAGAGAGAGAGGAATGAGAGAGAGAGGGAATGAGAGAGAGAGAAAATGAGAGAGAAAAGAGAGAAAAAGAGAGAGAGAGAGAATGAGAGAGGAGAGAAAATGAGGAGAGAGAGGAATGAGAGAGGAGAGGAATGAGAGAGAGGAGAGAAGAGAGAGAGAGAGAGAATGAGAGAGAGAGAAGAGAGAGAGAGAATGAGAGAGGAGAAGAGAGAGAGAGGAGAGAAGAGAAGAGAGAGAGAAAATGAGAGGAGAGAGAGAGAGAAAATGAGAGAAGAGAGAGAGAATGGAGAGAGAGGAGGAGAATGGGGGAGAAGAGAGGAGAGGAAAAATTGAGGGGGGGGGGGGAGAGAGAGAGAGAATGGGGAGAAAAAAGAGAGAAGAATGAGAGAGAGAGAGAGAGAAGGGGGAGAGAGAGAGAGAGGGGAAATGAGAGAGAGAGAGAAGGAGTTGTGAGAGAGAGGAGAGAAAGAGAGAAGAGAGTGAGAGAGAGGAGGAGGAGAGAAAGAGAAGAGTGAAGAGAGAGAGGAAATGGAGAGGGGAAAAATGAGAGAGAGAGGAATAGAGAGAGAGATTACCTTCATGGTGATTTTAAATGTTGTTCCAATGGAACGGAATCGCAAGACATCCTATTGGGGAAAGTGTTCCCAAAAGGGAAAGTGTGTGAGTCCTTGTTATGGAATTTTACTTAAACGCCCTTCTTATCTCATCCCGAATCCTGCATATGCAGACGACTGTACCTGCATTCATTTAACCAAAGGGGAAAAATGCGTGCTCTAAGTCTCAATCCCGCTGAGGTGTATCAGTTTGGGGGAAATAATGGCAAGTAACATTTGCCCCTGAGAAAACGCAAATGATGTGTCTCTAGGCACCAGATGGTATGCTGGGGCATTTTAAAAGGGGAAAAAGGGGGGTGTTGGCACCTGGAGAAGTTGTACCTTGGGGGTAAATTTAAATCCAATAACATGAGAACATGTTGTAAATCTTGAAACAAGGCACCCGGAAGCTTAAGACTTCGCGTATCTGCATTGCTTGCGTAGGGGTTGCAAGATCCTGTAGAGGCACAAGTACGCTCAAAACCTTTATATCTCCCCTTTTTTGGTTTGCCCGCCCCCCCTTCATCTGCGACTGCTTGAAAAGGGAGAGAAAGAGCAAAACGTCTCATTCTCGCCGGCCCCCTCCAGATAGATTGTCATTTCAGCAGAGCTTAAAAATAGGAGGGGTGTGGTGGGCCTTACTGTTATGTACAAGGTCAATATTGTCAAAATACCACACTTGGATCCACTTTGGGACAGGTGAAACAAGCTTTTATGCCCAAAAAGGGGAGAAAGCAGCAACTTACTTGGTGTCCTTCTCCCGAAAAACACTCCCTTTTAAACTACATACCCAGGAGACCGAGTATGGAAACCCTTGACGCATAATGTGTCAAGAGATAAAGTCAGTTGTCAAAGAAAATGTGGCCCCCAAAAGCTCCAACTTCATCCTGTTCCTCTTGTATGTTTCATAACAATAAAAAAGCTTTAAATGAGTGTGTAGGTAACAGTCTTAGTTGCAATAAAGTTAGGAATCTTACTGTAAAATAGCTTGTCAAAAAAAAGTTAGGGATCCTTAACCTTGTCAAACCCTGTGCAAAAAAAAAAAAAAAGTGTGTGAGTGAGAGAGAGTGAATGAGAGAATGAATAAATGAATATTTTCAAGTAAAAGTAGGTCTTAGGAATGTGTGGTGTCACCTTAGTGGTTAACATACTTACAGATGGTGGTACAAGAATTGAACTCTAGTGTGTTCAAGAGATATGTGGAATTGAAAGATAATGAATCTAGTATAGC